ATTCAGTTCAGCAGAGATTGATTCATTTACAGTGTCTTTGTACAAAGTCAAAAAGATATTNTGATGCGTTTTTGGCACCTCAAAATCGTCAGAAAAGAGTTCAATTCTTCAAATTTTCTGAGTACAAAATCTGAGCCCTAGCACCAATTCATTCCTGGCAATGGGACTGTTCATTTTGGCAGCTCAAAATTGTCAGAAATGAGATCTCTGGGTCTTTAATTCTTCAAATTTTCTGAGTACAAAATCTGAGCCCCAGCACCAATTCATTCCTGGCTACGTTGCTGATTCAGTTGTTTTGTTTTGTTATTTTCAGATCAGTTTTTAGAAGATTTTTTATTAACTCATGTTATATTTATGCCGAGTGAAAGATTAACCAAAGCTTTGATGAATCAATATCCTTTTACATTTAATATCCCAGGATTGTTGATGTATCTGTATTTACCAGTCATGGCTGATTGGTGATCCAAAATGACAGACTGCAATTTAGATCTATAGGACATTTTTCATGTGCTACATTATTTGCCTACAATTTTTTGAATTTGTTCACCAGGGATGTTAATGTGTCTGTATTTACCAGTCATGGCTGATGGGTGATTCAAAATGACAGACTGCAATTTAGATCTATAGCACATTTTTCATGTGCTACATTATTTGCCTACAATTTATTGAATTTGTGCACCAGGGCTGTTGATTTGTCTGTATTTACCAGTCATGGCTGATGGATGATCCAAAATGACAGACTGCAATTTAGATTATTAGGACATTTTTCATGTGCTACATTATTTGTCTACAATTTTTTGAATTTGTGCACCAGGGCTGTTGATTTGTCTGTATTTACCAGTCATGACTGATGTGAGATCCAAAATTAATGATTAAGATAGTGGACCATGCCATATATGCCCACCACGGCATGCGGATGGTAAATATTCAAGATTTTGGGGCAAGGGCAATAACTCTGCTTCTAACAGTCGAAAATAGCTCAAATTCGAACTAGATCTTTTTTTTATGAATATGTATACACATACCCAATTTCATTTGATTCCATCAAAAAATCTAGTTTTTAGAGCGTTCACAAGCAAATGTTGACAGACGGACCGACGGACAGTTTTGAGAATAAAGTAGCTTGATGAAATTTTGTAAGAGAAAGAGAATTGGATTGGTATATGAACAACTTATGAAGAATATTACCCTTAACCCTTATCACTTATTATGCTGAAGTGAATGATGGAGTCAATCAAAGTTCAGATCAAGAGTTATCTGACTACATGTTAACGTTTAAACACAAGATTATATATTTCGTACAAGAGTGGTATAACATAGCTACCGAGGCCTTCCACGAAGATTCTAAAATTATTTCCTTTCTAGAAGTAAGTAGAAGAAGAAATTCTACAAGTTTTTTAGCTTTGAGTGAAAGATGACTAGTTGTGGAAGGGTTGTAGCTTAATCAGTAAGAGTGTTGCAATCTTACCATGACATAATTTGCTTGGTTTATACAAATGGTTGTCATGGATTCTAAGATATTCCAAAGATGTCTTCTAGCTTTTGAATAAAAGATAATTATTTGAGGGAGGGTTGTAGCTCAATTGGTAAGGGTGTTGAAATCTTTACATGACATCATTTACATGGTTGTCATGGATTCTAAGATATTCCAAAGATGTTTTTAGCTTTTGAATGAAAGTTAAGTATAGTTTAGGGAAGGGTTGTAGCTCAATTGGTAAGAGTGTTGAAATATTTATATAGACATCATTTACATGGTTGTCATGGATTCTAAGATATTCCAAAGATGTTTTCTAGCTTTTGAATAAGCGATGACATAAGTTGAGGAAGGGCTGTAGCTCAGGTGGTTAGAGTGTTGAAATCTTTACTCAAGCAAAGGTGCATTCAATATCTAATGCTTCTGGGAATATACCTTTCATTCACGTCAAAAAATCCGAGCATTGTAGAGGGAAGACATTTGATTGGCTGGCAGTGTCGCCAAACTGACGAATGTTTAAGAAGGCGGTCTTAAGACCCTAACTGAAGTGGCTATATTAAAATTAAAAGCTATTAAAAAATGGAATGAAAGTTTGGTTTATTTTTTTTAAACTGTATGTGACGTCATCGAGTTAGGTCAAAAGCTTAATCTGACGAATGTTCAAGAGGGACGTCTTTGGACCATGAAAGTTTGGTTTATATTTTTTTTAGGAGTTACACAAAGCTATACAAGAAGATATTAATTTATATCCTACCCTGAAGAACGACATCAAACCATTGGTTAATATTATGCAATGTAAATATAGGTTAGTTTGTTATTTTACTTGAGCAGAACTTCAATTTTGAAAAGGGATACGGATGGCTGAAATTTAGACAAGTATTTAGATCTTTGTATCTCTTTGAGAGAAGGCTGTAGCACAGTCGGTTAGTGTGTTGAGATCTTTACATGACCATATTTAGATTAATCAGTGTCAGTAACATATATTCAGATCTTTGTATCCCTTTGAGAGCAGGCTGTAGCACAGTCGGTTAGTGTGTTAAAATCTTTACATGATGTCATGTGTTTGGGTATGTCTAACAAATTTCCCTTACTGCACACTGCATGGCGTTGTCCGTCTTCATTAGCCCACATGGTGTAGACAAGTAGGACGAAAGACTCCATTCATTTCATTTTGTTTGGTTAGGATTCTTATTTATAATTTTTAGTTCACCATTAAATTATAAAAGTTCGAAGAAGAAAATCCATCCATCTTTAATTTTAAGCCGTAAAACTTCTCGAGAGCAGATTACAGAGAGCAAGAAAAAACGCTCAGTAAAACCTACCGATGACAGTAAGTATTGATTCTTATCAAGGTGTCATTTCCAGAGCAGTGGTGGCTCAGTGAGTTAGATGCTTGCTCGCTAACCTGAAGGTCCAGGGTTCAATCCTAGCATAGGTCGAGATAATACCTTCAGATTTTTCAACCCAGTTTCCCCCTGTCAGTGAGTTAGACGCTTGCTCGCTAACCTGAAGGTCCAGGGTTCAATCCTAGCATAGGTTGAGATAATACCTTCAGATTTTTCAACCCAGTTTCCCCCATCAGTGATGTAGGTAAGAGAGACTGACACTGACAAAGTGTTTAGTCGTTTAGATGGGACAATAAACTACAGGCTGTACACGTTAAAGATCCCTCGACAGTTGGAAATAGAAAAAGAGCAGGTTAATAACACTGTCCTGACAAAATTTCCCTCATTGTACACTGAATGGCATTGATTATTCTTATTTTCTATATTTACTAGGTATTGTAAAAGTATATTGTGCTGATCATACGTACAGCTCGTTTCGATTTCCGATGAATACCTCCGTAGCTGAAATAGTTCATCATGCTAAAGATAAATTATCTCTAGGGGACGATTTGATTTTATGTGAGGTCAAATCTAACGGAGGTAAGGTTGTTATTTTATATACAGAGGCAGTTTTTGTGAATCATTAGGGTTCGTTCATTCTTCAGGCAGAGCAGGGAGTCCTGATATCAATCGTCAAGGTTTCCCCTGTCAGTGATGTAGGTAAGAGGGGCTGACAAGGAAAAAGCGTCTAGTCGTTCAGATTGGACAATAAACCAAGGCCTCATGTGCTACAGACTGTATGTTAAAAATCCCTCGACAGTTGGAAATCGAAAAAAAGCAGGTTTGTGCCGCAGTGCTGGAAAATTTCCCTCGTTGTACACTGCATGGTGTTGTCTGTCTTCATTATTGATGACTTAAAGAGTAGGCGCTTGTCTGAAGATCACACAGTGTGAAACTCTGAGTAACAACATGTTTCAGGTTCTGTTTTAGTTGTCTGAAGATCACATAGCGTGAAACTCTGAATAACAACATGTTTCAGGTTCTGTTTTAGTTGTCTGAAGATCACATAGCGTGAAACTCTGAATAACAACATGTTTCAGGTTCTGTTTTAGTTGTCTGAAGATCACATAGTGTGAAACTCTGAATAACAACATGTTTCAGGTTCTGTTTTAGTTGTCTGAAGATCACATAGTGTGAAACTCTGAGTAACAACATGTTTCAGGTTCTGTTTTAGTTGTCTGAAGATCACATAGCGTGAAACTCTGAGTAACAACATGTTTCAGGTTCTGTNTTAGTTGTCTGAAGATCACACAGTGTGAAACTCTGAGTAACAACATGTTTCAGGTTCTGGTTTAATATTTTATATTGTAGTGTGAAACTCTGAATAACAACATGTGTCAGGTTCTGTTTTAATATTTCTATTTGTAGTGTGAAACTCTGAGTAACAACATGTTTCAGGTTCTGTTTTAATATTTCTATTTGTAGTGTGAAACCCTGAGTAACAACATGTTTCAGGTTCTGGTTTAATATTTTATATTGTAGTGTGAAACTCTGAATAACAACATGTGTCAGGTTCTGTTTTAATATTTCTATTTGTAGTGTGAAACCCTGAGTAACAACATGTTTCAGGTTCTGTTTTAATATTTCTATTTGTAGTGTGAAACCCTGAGTAACAACATGTGTCAGGTTCTGTTTTAATATTTCTATTTGTAGTGTGAAACCCTGAGTAACAACATGTGTCAGGTTCTGGT